CCATTTGCAATAAAAGCAGGCATAAACACAATGTTTGGATTTGTCTAGTCTGTATAAAGTTAACTTAGCCATATAGAAAATGCTGGATTCTTATCCCCTTCGATAAGAAAAAAAATCGCAAAATCCTTATTACATAGATAAAGGAAAATTCAAATTTTAGGTGTTTTTTCTGAGAAAAGGAAACAAACTGTCTGAAGTAGAGCACATTCTAATAAAAAATAAGACTCCTTGAGAGTGAATACATGCTTAGATCATCCTGATCCAGTGGTTACCTGGAAACTTATCTTTGGTGCCAGAGGGAAGAGTACAGAGTAATAGGAGTCCATAAACCCCTTGGGAGAATATGGTCTAGTTTCCACCCCAGAGATGCTCATTATCTTTTACATTGATGAAGTATGGATTACTCCTGACTGATATATGGCAATATTATTATAGCTTTATTTTCTTCCTAATGATAATTTCCCTACCATTTATTTAGCATTTATCTATGTACTGATAATTTTTATGTGCATCTATTGCCAAACACTAGATGTATATAACCTAATTCTTGTGAAGGATGAGGTATTATCTTATTGTGGGAATTTTGGTTTAGAGGTGTTATGGCTCACCAAAAGTTATGCAGGCTTCAAGTGTCCAAGTAAAGATCAGATCCTGTGTTTGTCAGATTTCAAAGCCTGTACTGTTAGTCATCATGCTAATTGTCCTCGTAAGCAGCTTAGAACACTTTGAGGGCAATTATTCCTTTATCTCATTGCTTTCCGAATTTTCCACCTCCACATCTGTTCCATCAATAAATCCCATATTTCAAAAGACAGTTTTTACTACCACATTGTACTTATCATCTTATTTCCTTACTTTTATCTTCCACATAACTATCTTAGATATAATTATTCAACTCTCAACCCTGTTTCTGACCCTATTAAGGAATGTGCAGAGAAATATCTAAATTAAGGAGAGGAGGACAAGGAAAAGAGAAAAAGAGACTCAAGAAGTAGGAAGGGGCTAGAACTACATAGGGCTTTTTTTGCTGATTTAAGGAAATTCTTTAGTATAATATAAAAAAACATGAAGAGTTTTAAGCAGAGTATTAATCTGTTTGGAAATTAATTGGGAGGCTATAGTCTAAGCAAGAGATGATGGTAGCTTGGATTTGAATGCTGGTAGTGATGATAGAAGAGCACAGTTACCTGAGCTATTTAGAAGGAAAAGTTGTCAGGACTTAGTAATTTAGTGGCTGTAGGGTATGATGACAGAGAAATGCCAAGGATGACTCCTAGGTTTCTATGTTGTGGAACTGGTAGCTAGTAGTTTTTTATTCACTGAGATCAGAAACACTGGAACAGTACCAGTTCTGAGGCAATTGGTAGCAGGGAGAATTGTTTAGTTTCCAAATGTTGTTTAGAAACATGCAAGTTATGGGATCTAGTTGGATATTTGAGTTTCAAGCCCAGTAAAGTTGTTTGGGATAGAAATAAATTTAGGAGTCATCAGCATGTAAATTACAACAGAAGCCATGAGTTTGGCTGAGATTGTCTAGGACTGAACCTTGAATACATCAAATATTTCAGGCGAGTGAAGGGGAAGGGTCTGGAATAAGAGAAGGAGCAGTTGGAAGATAGGAGGAAAGCCAAGAGATTGTGATGGAAAAGAGAAAAAATTTCATAATGGAGGGATGGCAGTTGTCTTAGTCCATTTTCTGTCACTTATAATAGAATGCCTAAAACTGAAGTTTATAACAAGACATTTATTTATTTTGTTTCTGGAGGCTGGGAAGTCCAAGACCCAGGTGGTGCATCTGGTGAGGGCCTTCTTCTCGGTTGAGACTCTCTGTATAGTTCCAAGGTGGTGCAGGGCATCACATGATGAGGGAGCAAGAGCATCTTAACATGCTGTCTTCTCCTTATGAAGCCACCAGTCTGCTCCTATGACAACCCATCAATTAATTAACCTATTAATCCACGAATGGGTTAATCCATTCATGAGGACATAGCCCTCATGGTTCAATCACCTCTTAAAGCCCCCACCTTTCAAATATCATATTAGGTATTAAGCTTCAATATGAGCTTTAGAGGGGACAAATATTCAAATCATATCAGCAATGGTGCCAAGTTATGCTGAAATGTCTAGAATACATAAGAAATAAAAAATCTCCATTGCACTGTAAAATATTTTAAACACATGTACCAAAAAAAAAAGAAAAAGAGAAAAGAAACAAGATTACATATTGTATGATTCTGTTTATATAAAGTTCAAAACCAGCCAAAATTAATCTATAGCTTTAGATGTGGAAGTAGTTATAGTTACTCTCTATGATAGTAACTAGAAAAGGAAATGAAAATGGCTTCTGGATTTCTAGTGATATTCTTATTCTTAACCTGGGTGGGTTACACAGGTGTGTTTACTTTATGGGAAGTTTATCAAGCTTTACAATTATATGTATTTTTCTGTATGCATGTTATACTTCAATAAGAAATATTAATTAATAGAAAACAAGCCCAGAATCTGAAAAATAGGTGCCTTGGATTGAGTGTCCTCCCAAAACTTGACCCCCACTGTGGCAGCATTAAGAGGGTGGTAAAATCCTATTATGGTAACTGAAAGGTGGAGCCTTGAAGAGGTGATTGGATTGTAGGGCCACGCTGTAGTGAATGGATTAATAATGATGGGCAGGGGTGTTGTTCTGAGGGCTTTAAAAGGGGAGCACAAAGAGTCTGTCCCACTCTCTGTTCTTTCATTTTCTACTAACTGAGACCCCTGCATTGCTGTAAAGACACTACCAAAGAAGGCCCTCACCGTTATGTGTTCCCTGGACTTTGGACTTCCCGGCCTCTGAAACTATAAGCAATAAATTTCTTTTTCTTTGCAAATCACCCAGTTCCAGGTACTTTGTTATAAGCAACAGAAATGGATTACTACAAAGGGCATATTACTTTGATCTAACAATTCTATTTCTTAGCTAAGAAGTACAATTAGCAAGTATGCAAAGATTTCTATAAAACAATGTTTATTATAGCATTGTTCTATAAAGGCAAAAAACAAATATTTTAAATAACTCACTGATTAATATAGTACAACTAACTAAATCCATTCAGTGGAATTCTGTGGAACATTAGAAAACTATGATTTTGTTCATATGGAAAAGAGGTACATGATAATACTAAATGCAAAACAATTATAATAAAGTATGTATAATCTATTTGAAATTCAACTGTGATAGTAAAGAGGGAGTAAGTAGATAGGTAGACAGTTCTAAAAGTAGCTTAATGGCTTTTATTGGGGACAAAGGAGACTAAGTGGCAAAAAGTGTTTCATGGGGTCATGGCTACATAGCATGGCTAGATAAAATGATAAAAGTCAATACAGGTAACATGCTCAGTTCTGAGATGTGTGCTTGTTTGTTCTGAATGGATGTTGACCAAGTTTTGTAAGCATCTGTGTATTTTAGCAAGAATGAGTATTCACTCTGCCAACAACTCACTGAGGACTATAGGGGAACAATTGAGAATTTATTGTGCTCAAACTTTGGGAGCAAGATAAGACTGCAGTTTGGGGGGATATTTATATGTCCTGTAGAATAGAATCTCAATAACACAAGGTTTGTTTCTATTCATTCTGCATTTCATAATCACTAATTTTTGTTCGGCAATTTGAATTTTCAGAAAGAAATACAAAATAATTATATATAAAATTTCCTTTAGCTGTCTATGATACACCTAAAGTTTTGTATCTATTGTCCCTAACCTCAGTAAACACTAGGGCCAAGGAAAAAATAACACTGAAAGTAACGGGTGGCAGATGGAATAGCATAACACCAAGTATAAAAATGATTTCTTTCTTCTTTCCTGCAATGGTTGCTTTAAGACTTCAATGGGGTGGGCAGGTGGGGGGGTGCTGGCCAGTACCTCAGTTAGTTAGAGAGCAGCCATTTAACACCAAGGTCATGGGTTTAGGTCCCCATACCAGCCAGCCACCAAAAAAAAAAAAAAAAAAAAAAAAAAAAATCAATCAATAAAATTATTTCAATGGGGAAAATGGGAATATTAGAAGTATAAAATACAATTTGTTTTTATACAGGTGCAGCTATAATTAACAACATAGTTCACTTTTCCCAAGTTTCTTATAGTCTAAGTTTCTTAGCTTCAACTGTAAAACTCAATTACTGATAGCCCCTTGCCTTTCCCTTGATCTTGGCCCTGTACTCTACCTGAAAAATGGGATAAAAACTATAAAGCAGCCACTACCAGCCTCTCTTCTTTTCCTTACTCTCTCTCACTTCAGCAGT